AAAAAGGGACTCAAAAAATTAAAAATACAGCTTAGCAAACCTGTACAAAAGGTATAATATTTTCCCAGATTTATTTTATAATGTTGTAAATTTGTAAATAGTATACATTCCAAAGGTACATATATGACTTCCTTATTTTTCAAGTATGCACAAAAATGACAAATGCAAAGTCTTGTAGTATTCATGGCTATTGAATCAAAATATATGACTGAATTTTTGATTATGAACCTCTTTGTTTATCCTTTTCATATTTCATTCCCACACAAAACACTTAAACTAGATACAAACCGTTAAAAAAATATCAAAATAAGTTCACACAATTGTACATAATTGTAGTTTTTGGTCTTAAATGAGGAACCTTTCATCAATAAGAGTTTTCTTGGCTAAGTTTTTCCTTCCTCCAACTTTTCTTGTAAATACAAGAGCCTGAAAAGTAAACAATTTTAGCACCTCTCAAACTTATGATTAAACTGCAAATGGTTGAGCAGCAGTGTACCTCGGCGACAAGACCAGTAATGATGGCAGCTAACAAATAATTATTGCACATGAGATCAATGAATGTGAATAACATGAGATCAAATGTGAGTAGTGTCCACTCGTTTCCATAAAAGAGAACAGCATCAAATGAATGGCCGTTATCTAGAGTAACACAAAATGACAAATCACATTAGGAAAAAAGGGAGGAAATATATTGAAATTCCATAAATAGTGTAACTTACCTATGTACAACACTCCTTTATCCTGAGTTTGCGCAAATTCCATATCAAGAACTGACTCTAAAAAAAGTTTGGATCGCACTTCATAATCAAGGTCTTTCAGAGCCTGTAAAATTTGGATTCAGTTAATAAAAGTTTTATGGAAAAAGTAGGAGAAACTATTTCCAAATTAATTGTTATTTTATAAATATTACACATATAAATTTGACTACTTAAACGCATTAAGTGAGGAGCGTTGTCATCCTCAATGTATGACTTATCAAAGGAGTTTGACCAGAAAGTTGTCAAATTGCACTCAATGTTTTCATTTTTGTATACATACATGCTCCAAAAACGCAGCAAGTAGTTTATTCATACTGTGGTATGCTTGTACACTCCTGTCAACAGTTGTACCCAAGGGCTTTCGCTGAGCAGTAATACTTGAGAGTCTTTTTGAAGATGGAGCAATCTACAAGAAACAGGTAGTTTTATAAAACTTGCACAATTGTTTCTATAAGAGTGCACAATATATTATGCATCTGACAACAAACTTACAGACAATGTAAGAGGAGCCATGACTTTTCGATAACAGGCTCTCAATTGGGAAGGTATCATCATTTGGAAGGTTTGTTGCTCAGTAGATGGTAGGAGGCCCCTGTGACCAACTAAATCATCCTCCTCTCGTTGCAGCTGCCCAAGCATGGTTTGCATGTCAGTGTCGGCAAATCCATGAACAGATCTAATAAAAAAAGACAACAGAAATAATAATAATTTAAAGTACAGATCGTTTCTGCAATTCAGGTTCAATGAAAGACTGATAAGTACACACCTCCCATGCACATAATAACCAAAATTCTCAAGGGCTAATATAAAAACGCTGACATTTGCCATAGAACATACATCTACAAAGTCTTGGATAAAATTTTTAAAAAATCTTTCATATAATCCAACTAGGAAGAGCCACTGTAAATTCATCAAATCAGTCTTTTTCTAGGTAATTAATTTCACAATAGAAAACAAAAGAAAACAAGAAGTGTACCTGCAAGACATATACACCTAAGTATACCAGAATTGCTAAAGCAAACCGACATATAAGATTTGAGGGTGAAAGTCCTGTGAAACCAGGAGACAGAAAACTGCTGTCTGGTACTGCCAAAGTCCATTTTTCCCATCCAAAAACCTGCAGTCAAATTCAGAAATTTTGGTAATGTTTGGATGGAGACATGTATGCATTTTATTGTTACAATAAGAAACCAGGACCTTGAGACACAACATTACAACAAGCAATTGTAGAGAGAGACTTGTTTTGCGAACAGTTTGGATTTCATTCCACTCATTGGCCACAAAGTACGTTCTCCAAATAGACACTTTGTGAGACTCTGGTACAGTATTATGAAGTGAAGAAGATCCATTTACTTGAGGTCGAGGAAGATTTCCACTTGCTCTAGGTCGTTCCCAATCCATGAGAAATATATCAATGGAAATTTGATGCCATATCATACAAGCCACTTCAACAAACTAAAAAGAGAAATTATGTGTAGTGGATAATTTACAAGTGGTAAAATGATGATATCAAGACCTGTTACCTTTAATGAAAAAGCTACTATAACATATGTGCTAATAAGGTATTCTTCATATGGACCTGGCAGAAGCATGTGTGGGACAGATTGGCCTTTGTAAAATAGAAATGTATGAGTTGCTGCCCCAGCAACAGTAACAAAAAATGAATCCGACAACCGTCCACATGCCAGTAAAACTAGGCGAAACAATGAGGCATGATCAACACCAACTTTTCCTGCTCTACGGGAGTATGAAAGCGTCTGAATACCAGCCCAGACAATAGATACAACTGATAAGACAATAATTGATACCTGAAAAGAAATAATCTGTGATTAGATAGGTAGGGTAATGAAAGAAAAAAAGCCTGATCAAAAAGAATTATCAGTACCTCAATAGCATGAGCCAATTTATTTTCAGATTCAAAACTGATATCGACATGAAGAGGAACCATCACATTATTTTTCAACTGTTCACCAGAAAGTTCTGCATACTCAATAATTAAAAGGGGGGGATAAACTTTACCTATATCAATTCCACTTTGAACTTTAATCCTGCAGTAAAAAATTTGTTTTGATTATATTAAAAGAAGGTAATATCTAGATAGCTGTGAGTAAAGCAAATCATGGATAAGATTCATTTCTCACCTTAGACTTAATGATTTAGCATATTGTAACACAACAGGAATTTTTGTCTCCTCAATATCTGGATTACCCTCAGAATCTGGTTTATTTCTAAGACCACTCACTGCTTCAGAAAGAAAGAAGCGCCTTACAAGTTGCCATCCTAACTTATCAGCTTCCTACAAGGTTAAGGAAAATTGAAAATGAGGTAACCACATGTTGAAGGTCTTATTTTGAAGTAAATAGATGAAAGAAGTTACCTTATTGGGATAGCGGGTACCATCCTTCAAATTTAAAACCAACACAGGTAATGCATACAAAACCGATTCACCTTTATCCCAATACTGCAAATATAACTCATAAAATGTGGCAGCCTGTCCAACAGAGAATATCATGTTTGCAGGCACAACACAATCTTGTTTAAAATGAGCACCAAATCTAATAGGCCCCCACGATCCTGAGCATAAGCTCAATAAATCCAATGTGGCCGGAGCAAGTCCTAGGAGTTGGCCGGTAGGTGCAAATTTTGCTGCAGTCAAGTTAACTATATTGTTCTGAGAAGAGGAAATTTAAATAATAATAATAAGGGTTATCTAACTTTAGAAATTGACTTACAATTACCAAATAATTATACCTTGGAAGAGCTGTCAAGGCTGTACGTAGACATTATTTTCTTCTTTGAAAGTACTGTTTGGGCATCACCATCACCATAAAAGATCCACGGTAAATGGCCTGCTTCAGATGTTGGAATGTGCTTGGCATCACGGAAAAAATTACATGGACTACCACGATAGCCATCACGAAACATTACCATTACACACATATTAGCCACAGCTTGGCAAGCAGAATGATTTTTCAACTGAAATTATCGTTAATGATAAGCTTATTTATAGAAAATTAACCTGATTAAAAAAAATTTAATGAAACCACACAGAACATACTTTACACTGATAAGCAGCAAGGCGAAGGTTGTTTCTCAGAAAAGTGGAATCAACTTTCACTCCTGAAGAGTATTCAACTGTATAAGTTGATCTGTCATCAGGAAAGTCAAGGAGATATGTCCTTGGAATGCAGTAGATTTTGTTTACTAATTCATGGGAGATAAGTGGGCACGTACAGTTTTCGAACGAAGGAATAATTGGGCATCTTGTGCATTCAGTTTTGTCCGGTGATGGAATAAAATTAGGAGCACACTGAAGGCAATAAGCAAATGAATTTAAAGTACCATTTAAGCTTCGTTCAACTAGGGAAGAAAAATAAACACATCGTTAGGGACCCAGTTTTTTCAATGTAGTCCTTGAGAGCATTTATAAAGATCATGAATACCTCTTATTTCTGATGCAGAACATGGTGAACATATCTTTGACTCATTATAATTATTATTTATTTGAAGGTTGGTAAAATTACATGGAACACAGTCCAATCCATCCAGTGTCACAATGTGATTTTCAGCACACCTCTCACAAACAGGTGTCCCAGCACCATCCCACTTCACCATCTTGTAGTGTGGTGCGCACACACAGGAAGCACCTGTTCATAGTGTAAAGAATAATTTCTATAAAATATTTGAAAATTTAATTGCAAAATTTTGTTGGGACAGTAAAGTAAGAAGGGAGTGAAAACCAACAAACATACCATCTACAGATGCCAGTCCATGCTGTTCTTCGCAGGGAATGCATTGTAGTGAAATGGTGTTGAATACCTCGTTCCGCTTACATTTCCCTGCGTCTTGTCGCGACAAAACTTCCCCGGCCGTATCAACCTGCTGAAAATTAAGTAAAACCGCCACAAAAAGTCCAAGTGCGGGAAAGTCAACCATTGTGGAATTCCGACATTATTCAAAGCAGAATGTTTACAAGTGTAGGCAACGGTCAACGCACTACCCTTACCTTTCGTTGGCGAGACTATTAACTATTGACATATTGTTAAGCTAACACATTGGTGATATATAAATATTACATACTATTCGTCTGTCCTTTTTTTGTTTCCGCATTTTTAATGCGACAAAGGCTGGGTAAGGCACTCCTGCAATGTTGGCAGCATCACGTTCCGCGCCACTTCCCCCCCCCCCCCCCTCCGAAACTACCCTGAACACCTACAAACACAAACACCTGGAAGTAAAGAGTGTGTCCGAATTCAGCCACCGACCGAGCACCGACCGGTCGGTGGTCGAGCGGTCGGTCGTCGAGCGGCCGGTCGCGAGCCGCTCCAAGCAGCTATGCCAACCGCGAACCACGAAGTCCTTTCGCTGGGGATGGTTGCGGATCGCGACTACCCCCGCGGAGGACCCGCGGAGGACCCGCGACGATCCCCCGCGTAAGACCCGCGCCCTACGATCATCCCCCGCGAAAGGATTTCGCGGTTCGCGGTTAACCCAATGTGGACAGGGTGGCATAGCTGCTTGGAGCGAGTAGCTCGCCACGGCCCGGCCACCGACCGCTCGACGACCGACCGGTCGGTGCTCGGTCGGTGGCTGAATTCGGACACACTCAAAGTCTCCTGAAGTCTCCAGCTGGAACAAAATAAACCCCACAGATCCTTAGATCCTAGCGCAGCAATAGCATGGCTTCGGTGTTGCAACCCTAACAAAAACATAATGACAGCATACCAAAGGATCAAAAAGCATATATGTCATTAAAATAATAATTTTGTATTTCTATCTTCCACGTAATACATAATATGGTCACTCCCTTTTCACATCACCAAGATCAGTCTAAATTAATTCACAAAGCCTTTTTTTTTTTTCATGAAATATTTATTATGATTAACATCATCTCTCTCTGAATGCATGACGAACATTATCAACAAATAGAGAAATTGTTTGTATGTCTATGTGTTCATTTAGCTTCTCTAGAAAGTTGTGAAAAGCCTCTCTTCCCATCATAAACTCTTTGACATTGTGAGCAGTGACTTGTCCGCGATGATCAGTGATACGATTTTGAGGAATATTGTAAGTTCTTATTTTTGCTGATCGCTCGCGATTGCCAATCTGCATTGGAAAGGAAAATGTGCTAAGAAATCTAACTAAATTATACAATGGAAAAAATTTAGAAAGCATTCAATTATTACCTGAAGTTGTCTAGTAGCACTGAGTTCGCTACTTTGCTTTTGTATTTCCATATCATACAATTTTGTTCTTATTTTCATGATAGCAATTTCTTTGTTACGGTATTGACTCTTACCCTCCTGGCACTCTGTCACCATACCTATTAATGTAAACCAAATACAAAAGACATATTAGCACTTAATTTTAATGAGTTGCATCTTTAATACTTTATTAAAAATTCAAACCTGATGGCACATGTTTTACACGGACAGCAGTCTCTGTTTTGTTGACATGCTGGCCACCTGGACCAGAAGCTTTCATTGTTTCAATTATAAGGTCTTTCTCTGATATTTGAATGTCCACCTACAACAGAGATAAAAAAAAATGCCACCATATAAATAGACGATCTGACCCAGCCACTGAGGTCAACAAGACAACGCCGTATCCCCTACCATTTAAAACTCAAACTAAGGAATCTGACTTGAATTTAAATAGTGAAAAATCTTTATAAGAAGTAAAATTATGTTTACTTTTATGCTCTATTCGGGTGTATGGCCATTCTAGCAGGAAACTTTACACCGTTGCCAGGTTGTTTTTAGCTGCTGGGTCAGCTTGTCTATGGTAAGATTAATGACTCATGCCCCTTTTTCTTATTAAAGCTTACCTCAGTTGGTTGAGGCATAACAAGAACAGCGGCTGTGCTGGTATGAATTATTCCTTTGGGTGATGTGACTGGAACTCTTTGAACTCTGTGCACCCCTATTTCATTTTGAAAGTAGTTAAAAGCACCAGAACCACTGATGAAGAATGATGCACTGCGTATTCCTCCTAATGAAAACACACAACAAATGAAAGAGCTGTTTGTCAACTTTTGATCAAATTCTTTTAAAATGAATAAAGTACCTAAATCTGATGAATCGACGGATTCAAGTAAAAAGTTCCAACTTCGAAAATTTGCATAGTTTTGATAGAGTTCCAAAAGCTCATTAGCAAACAGCATAGCCTCTTGCCCTCCTGCTCCAGATGAAATTTCCACAGCAATATCAGAATAATTTTCATGTGCATTACGGGGAACTAACAACTTAATTATCTAGATAAAAAGCAGAAATTATTCAAAAACACATAAAACACTAAGTAGAATTTATTTTGTTTGTTATCTCATTATCTTTTATTTTGTTACCTCATTGTCTAGACCACTGAGTTCCGTTTGAGATGATAACAGCTCCTCCTCTGCCAGTTCCTTCATTTCTTTATCTAACAAAACAAAAATCATTTTTTTAAATTATTTTAATACCAGAATTGATCTTGAAAGTCATAATGTGAGCTTATCTGACCTTGTTTGAGATCATTCAAAGAGCTAATATTTGCTATCACTTGTTCTCGCTGCTTCATAAGGTCTTCGACTTTGAGCTTCTTAACTGCATTCTCAGAACTTCTATCATCATTTGTAAGAAATTCCGATATATATTTCTTTATTGGGGCTTCATCAATATTGACCATTACTCTTTTATGCTCATTAAAAAAGGCAGATGGTTGTAATGGAAATACACTTCGTGATAACAGTTGTTGAGTTAATATTCTTCGTTTTTTGTGGTAAAATGAATTAACATGGATAGGTCGGAAGAACAGACCGATTATATTGAGGGGTGGTTTTTTTAGTACTATCCCACTCAACATTGCAAAAATTATTTTCCAAACTAAGAGAGAAGTAACTAAAGTGCAAAATTTTCAACCCCCTGCAAGATGAAAGCAACCTGAATTGAAGCACCTTCCTCTTATGTTCCTTAAGCCGAGTAATAGGGAGAATGGCAATCATAAGACTGCTTACCGGAAATTTCGAGTTTTTTAGTTTTAGCTCTATAGTATTTCAGAACAATTGTCAGAATATAAGCAGATGCGAAACTTAAAATAATAACTTCCCATCAAAACTTTCAAACTGCTGTCTGCTAGGAAAGTTTGGGTTATATTGTGCTTTGTGTAATTTTTCATACTGAGGCGATTTTCTCACATACACATAACAATAAAGTTAAATTGATTGTGTGGTAAGAAGAAGTCTCCCTCTGATTGTGTGGTAATAATGTACGTACATTATTTTTAAAAAATGTACCCACTTTCAAAGTTACCTCTTTTCTCGCAACATACAAGTATTCCCTTTACCTCGTTTCCACTTAACTTTTACGTTGGCGACAGTGTATTCGCATCCGGTTCAACCTGCTTGCAGTGCGCACGCGCAGCCCGGGGCTTTCCCAACCTTTTCAAAACCGGTACAAAAACCACATGCTTCTCAAAGCTTCTCAAGCTTGAGAAAAGGCTCAAGTTCTCAAGCTTTTCTCTTGACGCCTTTTCTCAAGCTTTTGAACGAAATAGTTCAAGCCACATAGAACTCTAGTGGTCTGGAGATTGTGAAAAAGATATGCTATACAAGCTTTTGAACAAAATACTTCAAGTCACATAGAACTCTAGTGGTCT